TGATAGGGCACCAGAAATTGACCTTAAAACAGCTGCTAGCAACTGCATTCATCTCTTTCAAAATAAAATAATTTTTTTTTTAAAGTACAAATTTTTTTTCTGCCAAATGACAGATCTCTCTTTTATTTGCCTAAAAACTCTACACAACCAAATTGTGTGTAAAATCCAAGATCATAGTTCCTTTTTCTCTGGCTCCTGATGGGATGGCAGCATTACAGGGCCCTTCATGTGCTTTTCTATGTATCTTTGCACTCAATGCAAGTTTTGTCCATGGCATAAACGTGGAGATTTTCTGTCTTACAGAGGTGTGACCCTCACTGCTGGACATTCTCAGCCTGAGCACTTCAGCTTTTCCATGAGCAGCCTGCAACTTGTGACTTGACTCTTGTTCTTTTTGCCTGGGGTGCCCACGGCTCCAACCAAAGCAAACTCTGTCCAGTGTCACACTTCCACTCTGGAGCAAAGATCCCTCAGGAATGATCTTTTTATTTCTACAAAGACAGTAAGAGACCGAGGTCCACATGGAAGAAGCTACTGACAACGCCAAACACACTCAGTCATAGCCAGATATGTGACAAAGTCCAATTAAATCCTATTAGGGAATAATACAAATGACAGAGATTAAAGAATACAGTTAGCTCCTGATTAGACAGCCCATAAATCTGTTCAGGACTTTCAGAACTTACCACCAGAACAATCTCAAGACCTTTCACTGAGTTTCATTTTAACAGACCTGTTGTCCACTGAACCAACAACTCTGTTGCTTACAGACAAGATATTTCATCAACTTAAATACTATTATAAGATGATCATGCACTGAGCTTTCCTGAAATTGTGTAACATTTGCATGGTATAACACATACTCTTACTTGTTCACTGCAGTCTGATTCAAAGTGCTATAAATATGTTTGCCCTTTCTGCTAAGCCCGCCTAAGGGATTAGCAACCCCCCAAAAGTTCAGTTGAATATTAACTGCATTAACTTTGCAGACTGTAACATACTGTTACACTCAAACAGCCTACGGTGTGGTATGGATGACTTGCTTAATAAAAAATGTTTTCTTGCAAAGCCCGATTGCTAGAAAAAAGAATTTGCTCTGTCAAAGGGGGTGACCTCTCCCATTTAATTTCATAAAGCAAACAAACAAAAGGGAGAACTTTACAGGGATGTCCAGAGAAATGTTTATCATTTCGTCTGTCAAACCAGATGGACTTCCCTTGGCAACACAGCACATGCTCCACTCTACGTTAGAAATTAAGTCACTTCACCATGAAAAAAACCTGTGAAATACAGTGGCAAAAGTGTTATCTACTGTAGTAATGTGAACCCAAAAACTATAAAAGAAGTATGTTTGCTTACTTATTTTGCTAAGTATGAAGTGCTTTGAATGTCAACTCCCATAAAAAACTCATGTACTGGAAGACTCTTCAGAACAAAGTTATATAGCGGTGAAAACAAGTAAAAAGAAGAGGAAATATTTAAAAATTGGAAGAGGGAGAGTTGATAGGAGTGTGAAAGGGAGCTGACTTGATAGCTAGTGACAAAAGTCAAGGAAGAGCAGATTCTTGAACCTCCCAAGCAAAAAGCTCCCAGGCAGAGGCGGGTGTTGACTGGCAGTATCTGATCAAAAGATGAAGAAAGGGAAAGAGAAAGAAGAAAATGAGAAAGGCTTCTTAGGAGAAGTTTCTTAAGGTTATGAGGCAAAAAGTATTCAATAGATTGCTAAAATACTTTTAAAGATTAAAAAATCTCCTCCTTCATTACAACCACAGTAATAAAAAATGTAGAACCTGTCTATTATGGCATGAAAACAGAAATTGCATAATATGGGAGTTTTTCTTTTATAAAAACATACACGACACAAACGTTCTCTAGGCTGCTGTGGGAACACGTAAAAATACTCAAAAAACCTTGATCCTGAACGTTGCAATGAAACCTTTCTCATTTGGTCTTCAAGATCATGTCTGTATCAATTTGTAAAAACACACTCTCCCATACAAGGGACTTGGGTGTAACATAAAATAAATCCAAACTTTGAGAATTAGAAACCATATTTCTTCATAATGCTGGACATTTACTTGCTTCTGCCATTCACCATCACCATTATGTTGTCTAGAAATGGAGACCAACAATAGATGTAGGTAATTACACAAGAACTTAAACTGCAGAGAGCTTCAGACCACAGCATTAAACTGGAATTAAAGCTCTACAGGAAAAGAGAAATGTTTCACTCCCTGCAATCACCTCCCTCCCTCAAACACACACTGCACACCTGCTACCCACCAGCCAGATGGGACTGAATTCTCCCGAATCAGATCTTGGATTTTTAAGCTCAGCTCGAGTTCAATTGGATTTCAAAACATGAAAATATATTATCATTTCACATTCAAAAAATTACACCAGTGTCCAGGAACTCCTAGTCTCAGTGCCACTTGAACAATTAGATATGTATTGAAGTGGGATTATTGTCTCAAATGTCCTGATAGAAATAAGTAAAATGCAGCTTTGCATCAACATTTAATTTAATTACACATACTCACTTAATACATAAAAACAGAAAAAATCTGATTTTAAATCATCAGCGTGTTAAGTGAGAATGGGAATTCAGCTAATTTGCAGTGACCAGTAGTGTTTTGTTAAAAGTCCACAAAAGCAATATAGCAGCCCAAACTCACTTTAATATTGTAGCAACTGGCTCTTAATGCACAGGTATCATAAAATATTAACACAAGTTAAGAAAACACTAGGAAGCATTATATTCCTAGAGAATTTGCTAAGCTTGCATAATGAAACATTTGTTGTCAATAAAGTTTCTTCAGTTAAGAGATCTCTAGCCTGTTCTCCAGAAGAAGATCTCCTTTTTCCTCCTCTATTCCAGCAGCACAGCTACACCAAGTCCCTGTTGCCTGCACTTCAGTGGAGTGCTGGCAACTGGCAAAGTCACATTTTAACTGGGATTGGTCTTTCCCCACCTTTTCCTTCGGTCCTGAAACCATCTGAGACATGCAGGGGGTTAACAAGTCACCAGTCACCGGCGAGCCGGTCTCCGCAGGGGCCGCGGGCATCTGGGAGCTGCTGCCGGTGGTTTTTCGCCAGAGCCGCGCCTGGCAGGTGCCAAGGCGCAGGAATGCGAGTCCTGCCCGCTTGGCCAGCCTTGGACTGACCTTTAGTCGTAACAGGGAACAGGAGTTTTGTTAGCGAACACCGAGTTCTGGCCTACCCATTTTTTAAATTGATTCTTTTATTGATGTAAAGTGCCCAGGTGCCCTCATGACAGTCACTAATATAGATTTCGAAAATAAAATTAATTAAGGGCCAGTCTGGACCACCTTTACTGTCACCATGTAGTACCCTTTTCTACAAGTAACAATGCTATCAACCAGCGAGCACGAGTGCAGTGTTTGAGGAGTATTTCATTACATCCCAAAACACCTGACCATGGAGGTCAAGATCACTGTCACCTATCTATGCATACACACACACACAAACACACACACACACACACACACACACATTCCCTCTCCTCTCCTACCTTCCAAAAGGGGAACCGAAGCACAGCAAACTCAACTGGCCAAAGGCAGTGTCAGAGCTGTGCCGCTCCGCGCTCCGTCCATCCGGAGCACAGGGAGCATGGCACGGGCAGAGCCTGAGCGGGAGCAGAGCAGCCTGGCACGCAGGCTAATCTGAATTACACTCATCCAGCCCTTGAAATGGTTCCTCATTAGCTGCGGGTTAATGGAGTCCCAATGAGTAGTGTTATTTTCATCCCCTGCCTACTGAATACAAAATTCATTTGCAAATATCCTGTAAAATACTGCAAAGCAAGCCAAAGAGATATGACAACATAAGAGGCATACTATTTATGGAATGCACTTACCGTCATTTAGAAAAGGAAGCTGACATGAGCAACAACCTAAATTTAGCAACACATTTAGTTTTTATTCACTAGTCACAATGACAACATTTCAGAAGGCTACCGCACACCTTGTGCGCCGAAAGGTTCCACTGAAATCAAGACAGACTTTGATCTGAAAGGAATTCGGGATCAGCTCCTTAATGAATACAACACTGAGTTAAATTAAGGCAATCACCATCTTGACTTTCTATTCCAAGTAGATATAAAATTACATTGATTGCAGGAAATGGTGGCATTCAAACAATATTGCAATGGCCAAAGCCTGAAAGCTAAATTCATTGTCAAGCTAAACTAGGCTTTCAGAGGGCACCATTTGATTCGAAGCAAAAAAGCATCTGCAAACCACATATTTTCAATTAATAGTGTAAAAGGCACAGAGTAAGAAAGGAAAAACACAGGTCAATATGCCACAAGCCACTCAAAGAAGCAGAGTTGCTGCATGAAGATCCTGTGCATATACATACACAGGTATGTATATGTATGTGTGTATATATATATATGTGTGTGTGTGTGTGTGTGTGTGTGTGTGTGTGTGTGTGTGTGAGTGCATGTATGTGTTTTGGGCTTTTTTACGTTTTGGGGTTTTTTTGGGTTTTTTTTTGTTTTTTTGGTTTTTTTTTAAGGCAGCCTGTACTACAAAGGCTAAATTTGAGATCCAGAAAGGCACAACGCATCTCTGAACAGCCTGACAATGCTCTTTTACTCACACAATCTTTAATTCAAAAGTAATTTCAAATCAACAGCACACAAAGTTAAACCTAGTTCTTTTGAAAACTCAGAAAAAGAATTAATTCGAACCCTTACCTTTGGCACCTTAAAGACTTTTGGCCATGACTTACCTGTATAAATAGAAAGAACTAATTTACTACAGAAATGCCCATGGGCAAACATGTTCTGGCTAATGAAGTGTTCAGCTTTTGCATGATTAACCAGCTGGTGGGGGTGGTGTAAAAATCACAAGGCATAAAATAATAAGAAAAATTGATTAGCAGCTCTCTTTTAAAGCACTCTATGAAAAATTTCCTTATTTTTGCTGAGCAGTTTGGAAAGCGACTGTACAGAAAGATAGACTTAAATGACTTACCAAGGAGTCAGGCAGAGACTGCACCAGGCACTCACTCCTCCAAGACCTGCATCGCAGAGAGGTTCAAGTGAAAAGCAAGATACCGACCAGCACCATGGCTGGATTACTTATACAACATGCTGGTCCTGCCACTACTCATAAGGGTCATTTTCTACTATATTGCAAAAGACATATAAAGTTAAAACCATGATTATGCCTTGACTCAGTTCAGGTTCTTCCCCACTGCTCTACACTTGAATACCTGAGCTGGATACAGTATTCCCACAAGCAAATTTAAGAAGTGCCTCCATATGAGCCCCGGGATTCACAGGCTACTTAGAAATAATGCACTATTTAGGTGATGCCACATAAAAAAGATGGGGTTTGCACTCACTAGAGACAAAAATCCTCTTGCCCTTCCCATTCTGTACAAGGGGTTCCTTACAAGCTCACATGCTCTGCCCTCAAAATAGGACCTAATTAGTGTACAAATATTTGGCAGACAGGTCACGAAAATAAATTTATCATTAACTCTCCCCTAAACTAAGGCAGGTTATCCTGAAGCTATTTCCTAAAGAAATGTCTACTTTGTACACATTTGCTCTGGATAACACTTCAGCTCAGGTACAACTGGCTTGCAAGTTTCTTTAAGAAGAAAATCCACATTTTTTATGGCATGGAATTACTGCAGAAATATGAAAAAGCTGCTCACATAAAACATATGTACCAGGAATAAAAAAAATAAAAGCAAAAATTTAAGTTACACATAATTTGCAATCGGCCATTGTAATAGTCACAGTCCCTCTTTAAGGTCATTACTTCTATGGAAAATGCATGTTTTACACCTATTTATGGACTTCCAAAGACCAGTCTACAGCTATGTACCATGGGAGATGCAGGGAAAGAATTTGCATCTCAGGGATTTGCAATCTGTTCCAGCCCTGGGGATGCAACCGTAACTGGGACTTCATGGGCTGGGAACCTACATTAACTCCCTCTGTCAATATACAAGCTGTCCCCTTATATCCACAGCTGTTTTCTAACCATAACCAGATATTGCCTCCTCAAGAGTCTTCTCTTGTGGTATGCAATGGTATATGACATACCTTTATGTGCCCAGTTACCTGGATATTAATTCAATTCCCAGATCATTCTAGTATATTGTGCATACTGTGGCTCAAAATATTCAATCATACCATGGGATTCTTTGTGAGGAACAATGATTTTACCTGAAAAATTATTTTTTACAAGAAGAACTAAAGCAGAACTCTGAAGCCCATTTTCCTTCTTTTTATCGCTCCTGTATTTACTTTAATTACACATTCCTGAGGAAGACAGTACCATTTTAAATGCCCCCAAACAAAGATTTTTCCATGCAGTTTCCGTGTAAGAACTAGGCAGATTACCCTGAGAACAGATCACTTCACATGTACACCAAACATTCACACTGAAGAACTGGTCAGGCCCATTCAGGTTGGATAACTCTACAAATATTCCATCGAGGTCTTCCTTTCATATCAGGTACATCTGAGAAATCTTATCACTAACTTCATGATCAGTCAAGACTTCTGATTTCAAAGAGGTTTTTGCCCATTTTCAAGGCATTGCTGGATCAATGGATCTCTATACACTTTTATAGATCTTGCTTTCAAGCCTCCTCTAACCTTTTGGAAACACATTAACACTTAAGAAAGCAGGCATAGAGCAGACATGAGCAAACCAAAATAGAGGAAAACTGAAAACACTGGCATTTCTCTCAGTAGATCAGTTATGAAAGTGCTATTTCCAGATAGAATTCATCATAAAAAGAGAAATTTCTAGTTAAGCAGGAAGTAGCATTAAATTCCACTTAAGTCCAATTTTTATGATCATATTTGTATCATGAGCCATTTCTAAAATGTTGTGTATTTCTAACTCTGATGAACTGAGACCCTGACAACACCAGAGTTTGTAAGCTCTGTTTAAAGTTATTTTCAAACATGGTAACAGCCTAATATGGTTACAACACAATTTATTAATTGCAGCTAAGAAATTATGCTGTGCAGTATCTAAGTAACATCATAATTTTAGCTAGCCTACTTGTTTCAAAAGTAAAAAAATTTTTAAAGCCTGTTTGCTACAGAAAGTGAATGCTTGTTAAAACTGTAGTTCTTAAAGGGATTCAGAAACACAGATATGAGGCATAGCTGGTTTACAGAAGGCAAAACCTACTTCTTCAGACCTGCACATCATACTCCAAAAGCTTGATGTAATTATCTGCTTGTTTATTTTTGAGCAATTGCTTTGGAAGAGCCCCCAGTGAGTGATGTTGTGTACCCTGCAGAGGGGTCAAGCACAACTTACAGGCTGCACACTGCAGGTTTGCCTTCAAAGAACAAGAAAACACAAAGGTATTTAGGTGCCTAAGTCCACTTATATCCACTCTCAGTGGATATAACTCACATCAATGTGGATTCCTCGAATGGATCCAGGTCCATGCTTTTATGGACACCAAAACAGCAGAAAGTAAAACTCATTCTGCTGTGTGGCTTCTTTATCCTCTTCTATATTGGAGTTTCTCTAAGACCATGGCTCCTGGTAGAGGACACAACAGCCAAACAGGCTGGTCTAATTAACCAGAGTTTTTCATACTAATTAGGAACAACATGAGCATTAGGCAATCAATAGGACACCTTATGCCACTACTGCTTAAGTCTGCTTTGACTGCTTCTGGTTCCCTTGAACCAGCTGTACCCTTGAAGCATATTTGGAGGGTTCTTCCTGACACCCTCCCACACACCATCAATTTTTAGCAACAATAACCTTTCCCATTACACTAGAAATTGATAAGCAACATTGTTAACCTATGTGATGCAGCTAAAAGTCAGATGTAAAGTGCCAAAAGGATTTTTTTTTTAATTTTGGTAAATTATTTTGATCACTTCTAATGTGATTATACACTTGACCAGTGAGTAACATAATATGATACCCACCACACTGCAAACAAATTGCATACAGACTTGTTTAACACACACATCCCACTCAGGAGCAAGGAGAGCCATGCTCCACCATTCACTGTACACTTCCAAATTAATATGAAATAACAATGCAATCATTTTTTCAAAAGGCATTTAAAACTCTTTCTGAACAACTTCTTAAGGACAGCTGGCAAGAAATTAATATGTCTTAAGTACAGATAAAACCAGAAAACCTGTAAAGCATCTTTTCCAATTGAGAGGCTCAACTGCTAAAATTAGTTCTTGGAATTTCTCCTTTGGGTGCCAGTTGAGATCTTGCTCCAAATGACCACTAACAATCAATCCTACTGACTTTGAAACAACCCGCAACTACTCAATAAGACCTGTTTGCTAATTAGGTGCATGCAACCCCCTCACAAAACATCACATTCTCATACCCTTATTTTTAAAAATGCACTTTTGTTCCAGTGTCCTGAAACTAACTGTACAAACACAAAGAACTCGGATGCCCTCTCAACCCCCACTGGAAGTGACAAGTGAGTCCTTCTAAAATTGCAGACACATACTGTCAAGTGCAGGTGTTTGTAAACAAGTTTGGAAATGTTTCTAATTATAAACCATAAGAGTTAAAATTAGAAGTCCAACCCGTTAGCCTTAAAAAAAAAGAACTTCCAAAAGCGTTCATCTAAATGAGAGCAACCAGTGATGTTTCATTTAGTAACAACAGCAGAATTCCTGTGCCAAGCAGCACACTGCTCTTTATCAAACTTTCCACTATGAGTTACATTTCTTAAAAAAAAAAAAAGGATTTGATAAGAATTTTAATTTGCTGTCATACTATGATACTGTATATGTGAAAGTACAATCTAAAAATACCCTATTCACAGGTCTCCCGCGTTTCACATAATTATAAAGAAGGAAAAGAAATGTTCCCAAATCTTCTGGATCTGTCTTGGCTGACAACATCAAAGTTCAGCTTTTATGGGGAGCTTCCCACGCTGACCTTCTGAGAACTCAAACCAAACTCTGCTTGAGGGAGCATTACTCTTCTGGATGAAGTTCTCCTCAATAACCTCAACTACTGCAAAGCTCGGCTTGCCTGGCACAAAAGTGCTGAGAGAGGAAACTCAGAAGGGCAACCCCAGAGCTCTGGCTGATGGAGATCTCAGGATGCTGCCACTGAACTTGAGGTGTCTGACTTGTCTTCACTCCTCTGACGTGGAGGTCAGAAATGCAGCTCTAAGGACCCACGTGCTTTGACCAACACTTCAGGCAGAGGCTGGGAAAAGGCAAATCCTGCAGCCCTCATACACTATTTACAGTGCACTATGACAAGATAGTGCAGGCACAAAGATGGACTTTAGGGAGAAAGCAGAGCTAAGGGAGAGGGAGCTCTTTTAAGGGGAAAAGAAAAAAGATTCATTAGTCTCATTATTTCTTAAAGGAAACATAACAGCACATTTGAGCATGTCAGAATAGCTTCTGCTGATTACAAGCCAGCAAGTAGGAAACAATTGCAGAGAAGCCTTGATTCAAAAACGGGGTAGTCTGAAGAAAATCAAAAGGAACATGGACTAAACAGTGAGGACCTGCTCCAAGAACAAGGTGGGACTGGCCCTGCCCAGCAGATATCCCTCTGTTCCCCACCTACAGCACAGACAAGCACTGCAAGGGGCAGGGTAACAACAGCTCTTCATCCCCTGCACAGCCAGCCTCCTCCTCCTACTCCACTGGAATGTTACAAGACAGAGGAAAAGTCCAAACCCATCTTCCTCAAGAACCAGAACAGAAAGTAAGTTGCTCATGTTTCATCACAGTCAGGAAGCTATTTCACATAATAATCACTATCCAACCTTTGTTTTCCTTCCCTTCCTTTTCTTTTTAGCCTTTGCTCTGTAAAAATAATAGTGTAAAAATATATTTTTTCTGGAGAGCCTTTTGAAATTCACTGCATTCAACAAACATGACCATACCAGTTTAGTGCTGTACAGTCTTGTACCCAGCAAGTGCAGTGCTTTCAAAGCAGGAGTCTTGCAGGTGGTACTTCCTTTGCCGCAAGTCAAAATACCATAAAATAATGGCATGGGTTGGGCTGGAAGGGACCTTAATGGTCATGTAGTTCCAACCCCACTCCGATGGGCAGGGACAGCTTCCACTACACCAGGCTGCTCTAAGCACCATCCAACCCAGCCTTGAAAACTGGCAGGGCTGAAGCATCCAGCTTTTCTTGGCAACATGTTCCAGTGTCTCATCATCCTCACAGTAAAAATTTTTCCCTAATTTCTTATCTTAACCTGCCCTCTGCCAGTTCAAAGCCATTTTCCCTTGTCTTATCATTATATCCTGCTAAAAAGTGTGTCCCTATTCGGTACATGTCACTTTTTGGTATTGGAGACTATAAAATCTCCTCAGGCCCTTCTCCAGGCTGAACAACCCCAGCTTCTCTCTTCATAGGAGAAGTGCTCCAGCCCTCTGAGCATCTTTGTGGCTTCCTCCAGACTCACTCCAATGGGTTTACATTCCTCCCGTGCTGGGGACTCCATAGCTGGACACAGCACTCCAGGTGGGGTCTCACCAGAGCTGAGGAGAGGGGAAGAATCCCCTCCCACAGCCTGCTCGCCATGCTGCTCCTGCAGCCCAGGATATGGTTGGCTTTCTGGGATCCAAGAACACATTGATGGGTTTTATTAAGCTTCTCATCAACTAACCTGTAACTTTAATGTTTCTCTCTTAAGCTATTCCCTGTCTTTTAAAGCCCATTCCTTTTGGGGCTTTTTTGGGGGTTTTTTTGTTTTGTTTTTTGGGGATTTTTGTGTGTGTGTGTGTGTGACATAAGTAAGGGAAGGAGAAGCCACTTTGGTGAAGGGACCACAGTAATTAAGAACAGAGTGATGGTGCATCTCACCTGCAGCTAGTGACCTCTACCTTTCTTTTCCTAGGCTTGGGTACCTCATCCTCCCCTCTCCTGGCCGGTGCTGTGAGAGCTCCCTCTCCTGTTCCAGTTTAACCAACATTAGACCTTGTCCTACTGGAAGCACGGCCTGAGTGAACTAAGCAGGTTCTAAGAGAGTCTCAGCAAATTAGATTTCCTGCTACAAACTGACATCAAAATAATTCCCTGAGGGAGTATAAACTTCCAACTAAAACCTATGAAAAACTACTTCTTTATTAAACATAGATTTTTGTTCACATGCCCAAGTTGGTATACATACTATGGATATTGTATATATATAATATATACACATATATACCCACATGTGTATGGGCACACACACACATGTAGCATTGCAAATATTTAATGCTACTAACCTCATTGCTATTTTTATTCCAATCAAGGATAAAAATCATTAGTTTCTACAAGCCCATCTAAACTTCTGAATGTACCCACACTGGACTCACCTAGAAAAATGTTTTTTTCCTAAATGAATACATATTGGAGCTGTGTTTGCAAGTCTAAAAAAGTCAGGCATTTCACTGGGTATATAAATATTTTAATTAATAATAAGTATGTATTTAGGAGATTCTGCATCAAAGTCTAGATCAGTTAGGGCAATTAACCCATTACAGTTTTGTAAGATATTAGATGAAAGCAAATAGGAAATTAGGAAATGCATAAGGAATTTAGAAAATGCATCATCAGACTTAAATTAAGCATTTGAATGGTTGAATAATCTCAGATAGTGCTTTATTTCTAATATTTTCTGTATGCTCAAAATGAAAGCATGAAGAGCAGCACAATTGGTTATATCTTCTACCAAAAATAGCTGAAAAATACTATAGAAGAGTGCCTGCTGGGTTGGTTATAAAAGTAAAGTATAATCCATTAACTGCTAATTAGAAGCATCAGAAGCAGGCTTTGCTGCAATAAGAGCTGGCCCCTAAGTAGATGTTTCTGTAACCATTTAAAGGCACAGGGTTTCTCCAGTTGCTGAGAATGGAGCTTGGATGGTTTCAGCATAAAGGCCATGTGAAAAGAGACTATGGCACTTGGCCATGTTACCCAGCTGTTTTCTAAATATGATGACAGGTGCCATTTTTTCCATTTGATCGTGGAACGTAATACATCTTCAAACAAATTTTCCCCAACTAGCCTAGTGCAGTTACATTTCAGAGATTCAAATATAAGAATGTTTGCTTTTTTGCTCTGACAGACACATATTGCAGAGTCTTTGGCAGATATTTCATCAGCAGCCTTTTTCTCAAAGCTGAATTTTTAGTTTATGTATTACTTTGCTTTTTACTGCTGTTGTAGGAGGGAAAGAATAAGCACTTGGGCAAAGGATTTAATTCTGAAGGAATTAAAAAGGGGGGGAGAAGATACTATTTATAATTAGACAATAAATGTAACTTAAATAAGGAAGAATCCTCTTCCTCTCTGTTCACTACTTCCTAAAGGATGGGAACCATTGCCATAATTTCTCCTCTTCTTTATCTGACTACCTACCTTGTCAAACTGAGCTCCTTTCCTATCACTGAAAGGCCAAACAGGTCTTTTGATTCGTTTGTCTATAAAAAGGTCTTAAAGGGTTATGCCAAAAAAAGGTGGAGCCAGAAGAAATCCCAGTAATCCAGCTCCCTGCAGAAGTATCAGAGACACAAAAAGCAGCAATCGTG